GGGGGGGGGGGGAGTCTCAGCTGCAAGATGGCCGTGGGGGATTTGTCCAGAGGTCACTATTGAAAGGAGAAGCCGAAGCTCCTGACTCACATGTTGGATAATAAATAATAAAACCACGCATCTTAAAGGAAAAGATTCTCAACCGTGGGGTTGGGAGGGACTTTCCCCCAGTCCTACGAGGAGATGGCATCTGTGTAGAATCCTCAGGGTAGGGATTTCTGGACTATTGTTTCACCTTCCAGACCATCTGCAGCAGGTTAGGGTTTGGATAAGGTATGTGGGTGTCGGCGTAGGATGTGTAGGTGTGTGCTTATGTGTATTGTATGATGATCTCACATGTCTATGTATGAAGGGAGAGAATGTGTGTGTGGAATGAGGTTGGTGCCCAGCGTATATCCGGGCATAGAGTTGGCATGGGAAAAACTGTCTTCTGGCTTGTTTGGAAGGTCATTCATTCACAGTGCCCCACAGACCTTTATTGGTGATCTATACTCAGGCCCCTGCTGAGTAGATACCCAGGCTGAAGGGCCAGGAGCATACCTCTAGAGCCAAATGAGGAGCTCTATCCCAGGAGGGCTCTATACATGGCTGACCTTTCTCCCATCTCCCCTAGTTCAAGGATGGGAGAAAGGTCAGCCATGTGTAGAGCCCTCCTGGGACACGGCTCCTCATTTGGTTCTATTCCTGAGTCTCTTGGTCAGATACTAAAGTGGTCCCTAAGACACTGCAGGCTCCATCTCTCCCCTAAGCAGGATGGATTTATTGATGCTCCTTCTGTATAGCTGAACTCCCCAAGAGACCTGTGGAATAAGGCATACTTCCCTCAGCTCTTTACCCCTGGCCACATGGGACCAGCGTCCTGGGGCTTTGTGTACTGAGGGGCTGAGGACACTGGGCAGTGTAGACTCTGAGACTGTGGTCACCATCATGATGGCCGTCCTGAAGGGGCCAGGACATCAGTCAGGACGTGCTCGGGCAGTGAGCCCCTCAGATCTTCTCAGTGTTTGAGGCATAAAAGGTCCGGTTTCACACCCAGTCAAACTTAGCATCAGTGTAGTTCAGTGTTGCAACCAGATAACCCCCGTGACCAAGTTAACCCAACACGTATTTAATTATGTCCTCAATTGTTACTGCTCTGCATGGTGATAAGACAAGAAGCCCTGAAATGATGGTGACAGCAGAGACCAAGACAGTAGTCACTGACTGACTAGGGGGCTGGCCCAGCTCATTGCAGTGGTCACAGGGAGAGTCGACCGTGGAGGCGAGACCCCTGAGATGCCGAGGGAACACCAGAAATGCCCCAGGACCAAATGGTTGTCCCCTCTACTGAGGGGCAAGAGGAGACTCCGTCCCAGAGGACCGGAACAACCTGGTGGTCCTTCCCTCCAGAAGACCATGCTGACATTCAATTCCCAGACCTTGTGCTGCACCACATCCTCACTTTATCCTGATAGCGAACCCTATTGATTGTTCCTGTTTCACTGACAGAGACCCCTCTGGCGGGAGGCTAAGTGACTTGCCCAGTCATACAGCTGTTAAGTTTTGGAGTCAGGGTCCACGGTCAAAGCTGCTCGGTGCCAAGGGCTGTGCTCTAACCATGAAGCAGCACTGCCACAAGCTGTCCCCACAGGCCATGCCTTGGGTTAGGGATCCGGGGATCCTCGGCCTCCCCCAGCCTGGTATTCTCAAGTATAGACAAAGAAGGGTGAATGGCAGGTTCCATGGGATAAGCTCATTTCTCTCCTAAGTCACTGTTGACATGATTCAGGAAATGGGATTGACTGGGGGTGGGGAGAGGATGAGGTGAGATGTAAGCACTTCAGAGGTGGCCGGCGGGGTCAGTGCTGTCAGCGACCTTGCTCATGGCCGTGTCTGGGCACTGGACTTATTAGAGATGGGGGGTGGGGGGGGGAAGTGAAGGATCCTCTGCTTAGGGCTGGCTCTGCCCTCCTCCGTTCTTAGCAGCCCATGGTGTCCCGTCCCTGCTCTCTGTAAAATGGCCAGGATCCACCTGGCCTCTCCCCTGTCTTGAGGCTCTGAGAGGGTGTATCAGGATTACAGATTGCCCCGCTTGTGCAAAAAGTACGTGAAACCAGAGGAGCAGCAGCAGTCAGTACAATGCTCGCCCCAGGCCCCACACCGAAAGGGAGTCAGCTTTTTACAAAAAGGCACTCAGCCTTGGGCTGCCGCATGAATCCTGAGGCCCAGGGCCTTCCTTGGCAGTCTCATTGGAGAGGCCGTGCTATGTGACCCAGGCCCACTCTGCTTCAAATCAGGGCCTTCCATGTGTGTGATCTTGGGGGGCCCAGATCCTGAAGTGTGTCTGCAGGGACTTTAACTACTGCTCCGCTGTGGGATAAATGGAGAGGGTCTCTGGGGTTGTTTCATTTGTGCTGTAATGATGAAGGAAGCTCAGAGGATTTCCTAGGTTGTTGATTTCCCCCCATCCCCGTGGTGGAATCGTGCCCATTTCTATCAACAGATACAAAAACTGAGGCTCATAACGGGGAGCCCAGTCTCTGTGTACACACCTCGTCACAAGAAAAGAAGGAACAGGGTGCCAGCCGGCAGCAACTCAGACTTTGGTGGGTCCCAATTTTCAGGCCCCTGTTGAGATGGCTAGTGGTCAAAACTCCCTGCTCCAAAGCTGTTTGCGGACTCCAGTTTAAAGAAGGGGCAGACAGGGAACCCTCAAGAATCTCAGAGGCCTGGCCTGTGGCTCAAGTGGTCAGGCCCACAGCTGTGAGAAAATCTTGGGCTTTTAGAACTTAATTTATTACCTAGCATTTTGGAAGACTCTCCTGTGGCCCTACTACTGTGTGTAATTTCAGAAGGAATTCCCATTTTGCCCTCACTGCCCGCTCTGCTTACACCAGCTTTGGCCATAGCTCCTGCTGGTGGATCTCCTTCTGGAGCTCCTTAGGGCCAAAGACCATTCTGTTCTTATCTCTGGGACCCAGTACCTGCCGAGTATCAGCACAGAACAGGCACTCAGAAAATGTTCAGCAGAAGCATGCATGCATGGGTGTAAAGTAAGGGCTCACCAGGGCTGGACGCCCCTGTGGGCTTGACAGGATCTGGATGGAGCCAGGAGAGGACATTCCAGATGGGTAAGGCTTGCAGAAGTGCATGGGAGAGGTGTGAGGTGGGTTGCGTGGAAGATGCTATCAGGACACAGGGTGGGAATGTGGGCTGAGGCCACTGATGGAGAGCCTTGGAATTTGGGTTTTAGGTAAGGCAGTAGGAAATGGAGGAACGTTTGCTGTCTCCCTCCTGCCACATCCACTCCCTCCAGTAGGATGACCCCCTCTTCTGGCAGTGCTGGGACGTTGCTGTGTGCTGTGGCCTGGTACACGGGTAGCCTGGTGAGGGGATCTGGAGATCATTCTGGCTCCCTGGTTGGGTTCTGGATCTTCTGGTCTTAGTCTCAGGGGGTCATGAGCCCTGGGGGTGAGCTTGGGAGAAGAAACTCTCCTGCATCTCCCCAGGATTTGCAGGGCTGTAACTGAGGACTCCCCCAGGCAAGGGTGTAATGAAGACTAGCCAAGCCCCTGTCCATCCTGCATACCCCCCGCCACTCCCCATCCTGCCCACCAACTCAGATATACAGACACAAAGGGAAACTAGAGGGAACCCCTCGCCACTCCCAAACCTGCCAAGACTACAACTAAAAAGAAAAAAGTTTCGTTTAACCACTCACCAGTGTTTTCAACTACGTACCGTGCTCCTG